GCAGTGGGGTCCCTCCCTCCCTCAGTCAGGCCTGGCACATGCACTAAATTTTCAGCAACTGTTTTGCCTGGCCCAGACCTGCATCCTTCTGGAGCTAAGGAGGTGACATGGCTGGAACTGCCTGGCCAGGTACCACCAGCAAAGCCTTGGGCAGCAGCCCAGCAGTGACACTCAGGAGGTGGTTATTTGCCCCCAGCCAGTGCTGGGCCCCCAGGTCCTGGCAGAGCTGGGCTCTGGGGGGCTGACTTGGGCTGTCGTGACTCCTGAGGGTGGGCATGAGTCAGCTGGACAGGCGCCACCCTCGGCGCTCTGCTTCCCGAGAGCTCATCTCTTTGCTGGAGGGCCACTCACCGGCTGTGCAGGCCCTGGCCCTGCCCTGGCTGGCAGCCGCCTCGCATGTGCCCAGCTGCCCCTTCCTCCAGCTCAGCTGCTGGGGAGGCTGGTGACTCCCCATTGCTGGGGAAAATGGTTCCCCCTACAGCACTGATCTCAGCTGGGGAGCCCCCTGCTCCGCATGATGCCTGGTGTATGGGGTGGGGGTGAGAAATCTCCCTGACAGTCCTCTTGTCTCAGCACCCCTATTCCTGCACTAGCCTCTCCCTGCCCATGGGGAGCACAGTGTGTGTGTGTGGGGGGGAGATTTCCCCTAGGAACTGGCCCCCTTCCAGCCCCTAGGCATCAGGTCTCCCCTCCAGAGTGGCACCCACACTAGGGATGTAATAATGGAGTCGATTAACGGATAAGCAAAAGCTTATAGGTTTAATGCTCTAGATTACATATATTTACAATTTTAGCAGGCTGGCCAGTAGCCTGGCTCAGTCCTAGCTCGTACCGGGTCCAGGACCTACCCCCGCTGTGACTCTGCATTTAAAGTATTAAGGAACCAGGCGGGCAGGTAGCTCAGTTCTGGCTCACGCTGGGTCTGGGAGCTCAGTCCCACCCCTAGACAGGGGCTGCTGCCACCCCGCGTTGCTGCTTCTGTATCGGGCAACAGGTCCGCGGGGAGCTGGTTTTCACACTGGCTCCTGCTTGAGACCCCGTGCTGAGTGGCAGGAGGCTCCTCGGGAGTGGGGCTGGAGCGCCCTGGCTGCCAGCCCCGCCCTCAGGGACTAGAGAATAGTCAAGTAACCAGTAAGAATTCATGAGGTTAATCGACTATTCAATTAACCGCTAGTTAGCATCCCTAGCCCAGTGCGGGGCAGCCCTTCCCTGAGGTCTGAGATTGCTCAGTCCTGAGCTGGGCTGTGTCTGCCTCTTGCCGTTCGTGTCCACGTTCAGGCAGGTCCGCCCAGCGCAGAGAACACAGTAGATGCGGGCGTGCTGGCCCTGTGCCCATTCAGGGGAGCATTTCACTAGCTGGGCCGGGAGTGCCTGCCTCTCACTGCCACGTACGATCTGGGCAGGCAGCGGGGGGACCAGTGGGTTAATGTGGGGTGGTAGCTGTCTGCATGTGGGTCCTGGGGCTATTGCTCTGTGTCAGAGACTGCAGCCCCTGCTCACAGCAGCACTGGGCCAGGCTAGCAGGGGGCTGCAGGTCAGGATTGAGGGCACAGGCAGGGCTGGGCTAGCAGGGGGCTGGGTTGGGGTTGAGGGCACTGGCAGAGCCAGGGAGGGGAGCCCAGGCCTGGGGCAGCAGGGTGGGCACTGGGATAAGTTGCCTGCATTACATGCCTGTCTGGCTGGTGAAGTCCTGCTTGGTCAGGGTGGCAGGCTGAGAATGCCTGGCTGGAGCCCAGGACGTGCTTGTCACAGGCCCCAGCCAGGGTGGTGTTTGCGGCAGCCCAGCCAGCGCCCCGCCTTGAGGGGGTGGGAGCTAGGGCTTGGCGGGGTGGAGGCGCAGGCGGGGAGTCTGGGGAGCGTTGCTGTGCCAGGGCCCGGATTGCTCAGCTAGCACGTGGCCACATCTGCTGCTGAGCCGCACGTGGCTTAGTGAACTCGACCAAGGGCCACAAGCCAGGGCCTGGCCTCCCCAGGGCCCAAGGGGGGAGCCAGGCTACCTGCCCCCCCCCCCTTGCTTCCCCAGTGCTAAGTGCAGCTGCTTCTCTTCCAGGTGGGCTCCTGGATCGGCTTCGCCATCATGACCCAGTGTCTCCCAGGTGAGCATGGTGTGGGGGAAGGAGCCAGGGTACAGGGACACCACCTTGTCTCCCCACAAGGTCCAGGAGCATGGGACAGGCAGGTCTTGCCTCCTTGCTGACAGGGCCACTTGTCCCTGTTCTGTGGGAACAGTGACCCTGACGTGGCCAGGGAGCAGGCTCCCAGCATGTCACAGAGATCAGCTCCCTCTTGCAGAAGGGGAAACTGAGGCACAAGCAGGCTGAGGACCTACCCGCGGAGTTGCCATAGACGGGGAACGGAACCCAGGAGCCCTGATTCCCAGCCCTGCCCAGCTGGCCATGCGTAAGGGGTTTGGTGGGGGTCAGACCCCTTTCTGGCTGGCAGAGTGAGCTGAGTTCATAGTGCACCTTGCCAGAGACAGACCCCGCGCTCCAGGAGCTGGTCCCTGTCTGCTGGGAGAAGGCAGCCCAGGAGGGGGGAGCCCCCTGCTGCCCCCTTGGAGAAGTGCAGAGGAGAGGAGTCCTCGGGGCAGTGCCCAGCAGCAGGACAGGCAGCCATGCCCACCCCTCGGGACCTGACGGCTTGGCTCTCCTCTGTCCATTTTCCTACCAGTCAGGACAGTGGGGCAGGGTTGATGCTGGGAGACGAGGGGCTAAGGGAGTGACCCCCTCCCACCTTCCTCACTGCTTTCCCCTCTGTCCACAGTGGCCCTGTTCTCTCTGGTCGGCTTCATCCAAATGACCATTTGGGCGAAGGGGAAGCACCGCAGCTACCTGAAGGAGTTCCGGGACTACCCGCCGCTGCGCTCCCCCATCGTCCCCTTCCTGCTCTGAGCCAGGCGGAGACGCTGCCCTCTCCAGGCGCTGCCAGGGCTCAGTACTTAATAGTGAGCAGCTGTTAGTGCAGTCCAGGGAGCCGCCCACCCCCCCAGGGGGCTCTGGACCCCACGTTGGGCTGGCTGGCACTGGGCTCAGAGGAAGCTGCACAAACTCTCACCTGACTCCTCACTGCTGGGGTTTCTACAGCTGCCCCTGTGCTCCCAGCTGGCCAGCCCTGCCCTCAGGGAAGCCCTCACCCCACCCCTGCTTAGACCAGGATCCTGCTCTCCTCCTGCTGCACCATGCACCCACCAGCTGGAGCCCAGAGAGCACAGGTCTCCTGCAGCCCTGCCTAACTGGAAACTCAGAAACTCACCCAGACAGCTGTGGCTGGCAGCTGCCACTCAGAGCTGTGGCCTGCAGGAGGGACCCTCTCCTAACCCGAGGCATCTAACTTTGGCCCCAGGCACCTGCTAATGCAGCCCGATTCCAGAGGGGTGGAGGGTTCATGCCCCGGTGGGTGTAGCAAATGCTCAGGCCCATCCCTGCATAAGCCCCTTCTCCAGCTGCCCGCTTAGGATTGTAGGTGCCTCATTTCAGGCTCCTGAACAGGACAACAGCTCCTTTCCTGGGTCCATCTCCAAGCAGGGCCCCTGGGGGCCAGTGCTGGGCTCAGCACTCCTGCCCACAGAGCCACAAGTTGATGGGGAGAGGGTGGCAGGGTCTGCTCAGCCCACAGCACTAGGCTGCCTTTCCCCACTGCCCTGCGGGCAGCTGACCAAGAGCAGGCCACACCAGTCAATTTGCCAGTGTCTCTTTAGAGTGAGGCTCGAGCTGGGGCAAGCAGGAGCCTAAGGGGTCTTGTGTGGGGCAGAACTGAGCCAGCAGTAAGGGGAGGGGGGCAAGAAAAGGCAACAGCACTGCGGGGCAGGGGCAGCAGGTCAGGAAGGAGGAGGGCTGGGGTGGCAGGGGCAGGTCAGCCCTGGGGGCACTGGCAGGGTTGTGTGGGGCTACTTGTCTCAAGCCAGCACTGTGAAGTGTAAGTACAGTAAAGTTTTTTTTCTTTTGTACCATTTTTCTGTTCCATCCTTCCCTGGGCTGCTGAGCAGCCACCCTGGCTGCTGTAGCTCAGGCCTGGCTCTGCTGGGATGGCAGTGGGTGGAGCCAGCTACTTAATAAACATGAGGGGCCCAGCCCACCTCCCTCCTGTCCTGGCTTCACAGCAGCTTGTGTCTCCTTTGCTCTTGCTCCAGCCACCTGCGGCGCATGGCCCCTTCCCCCCCCCGGCCCCTGCCACTCACTTCCTTTGGCTCCTTTCTGTCTCGCCTGCCTTAACTGCAGCTATGGCCCCTGGAGCGGTGACTGGTATCCACAGAGGACTGAGACCAGCCCTGCCCCAGCATGAGCCACGCCCCAAGCACACTGGGGATTGCTCTCCCTGAGCCACACCAATAACCAAGCCAGCCAGCTGCCAGCCTTGTGGCCCATTGGTCCCTCGCCCTGGACAGAGGGGATCAGCTGGGCTGCAGGTGGGCGTGGGGTGCACTTTGCATGGCCAGTGACTGGTATCCACAGAGGACTGAGACCAGCCCTGCCCCAGCATGAGCCACGCCCCAAGCACACTGGGGATTGCTCTCCCTGAGCCACACCAATAACCAAGCCAGCCAGCTGCCAGCCTTGTGGCCCATTGGTCCCTCGCCCTGGACAGAGGGGATCAGCTGGGCTGCAGGTGGGCGTGGGGTGCACTTTGCATGGCCACTTCCTGCACCCTGGAGCAGCAGCCTCTGTGCCCCACTTGGGGCAAGCAGGTGCAGCCAGGGCCAGTGCCATCCATGCAGCCCTTGCTGTTGCACTCAGCCAGGAGGGGCAGCTCAGGTGAGTGGCAGCAGACTCATGCCCATTGCCCTGGCCACACTGCTCTTGGCTGAAGCAAGACCAGCTCTGCCTCACTGCTGGCTGACTCCTTGCAAGGGTCAAGGGGAATAGCCATATGAGGCAGGTGCAGCACTCGCCAAGCTCTTCAGATGCAGGAGTCCAATCAGATGACAGCATGCTACCCCCAAATGCCATCGAGGGGCAGGGAAGCTGTGCTGGGCGGGGGGAGTGATAAACCCACCCCTGTGCCACAGCTGTGCCAACCTACCCTAATGTGGACCCTGCTCGCTCCACTGGCCCTCACTGGAATGGGTTCATAGAGCTGGAAGAGACCTCAGAAGGTCATCAAGTCCAGCCCCCTGCTCTAGGCAGGACCAATCCCAACTAAATCAACCCAGCCAGGGCTTTGTCAAGCGGAGACTTAAACACCTCTAGGGATGGAGACTCCACTACTTCCCTAGGTAACCCATTGCAGTGCTTCACCACTCTCCTAGTGAAATAGATTTCCTAATATCTAACCTGGACCTCTCCCCCCACAGCTTGAGACCATTGCTCCTTGTTCTGTCATCTGTCACTACTGAGAACAGCCTTTGAGTTGAAGGCTGCTATCAAATCCTCCCTCACTCTTTTTGCTTCTTCAGACTAAAAAGACCCAACTCCCTCAGCTTCTCCTCATAGGTCATATGCTCCAGCCCCCTAATCATTTTGGTCGCCCTCCACTGGACCCTCTCCAATACATCCACACCCTTTTTGTAGTGGGGGCCCCAGAACTGGACACAATACTCCAGAAGTGGCCTCACAAGAGCCCAATAAAGGGGAATAATCACATCTCTGCTGGCAATGCTCCTCTTCATGCAACCTTATATGCCATTAGCCTTGGCTCCAATGTTGACTCTCATCCAGCTTCTCATCCACTGTAACCCTCAGGTCCTTTTCTGCAGAACTACTACTTAGCTGGTTGATCCTCAGCCTGTACCAGTGCTTGGGATTCTTCCATCCCAAGTGCAGGACTCTCCACTTGTCCTTGTTGAACATCATCAGATTTCTTGTGGCCCAACCCTCCAATTTTGTCTAAGTCACTCTGGCCCCTATCTCTGCTCTCAAGCATATCTACCTCTCCCACTAGCTTAGTGTCATCTGAAAACTTGCTGAGGGTGCAATCCATCCCCTCATCCAGGTCATTAATAAAGATATTGAACAAAACCAGTCCTAGAACTGAATCTTGGGCACTCTGCTAGAAATCGACCGCCATCCTGACATCAAGCCATTGGGTTAGCCCAGTGTCACAACACCCTTTCCTGGCTGGGCAGCAGGCCTATTGAGTGTTAAATATCGACTAATCAAATAGTCAATGGGGCAACTCCGCCTGTGAAGTGTAGCAACGGCCTTAGCACTGCTCCCACGCTGACCCTGGGCTCCGTGCAGCACGGCTGCTTTGAGACACTGAGGAGCCCACGCAGTGCTACTGCATTCAAGTGCCCCTCCTCACTGCCTCTTTCTGCTAGAGGCAGCAAGGAGGGGAGAAGCAACTAGTCGACTATTGGATAAACATTTGCTTGTCTATGCACAGGGCAGCATGGCCTCAGTGCAAAGGTTCCCCACCGGAAAGAGCAGCACGTCTGTGCAAGAAGGGGCCGTAGGTAGATTTCCTGCATTGACCGCAAAGGCAGGAACTTGGGGTGTGTGGGGGGGTGCCCACCGGAAAGAGCAGCACGTCTGTGCCAGAAGGGGCTGTAGGTAGATTTCCTGCATTGACTGCAAAGGCAGGAACTTGGGGTGTGGGGGGGGCAGAACTCACAGCAAACAGCCATGCTAGACCCCCTCATGTTGAGCCCTGCAGAGTCCAGCCAGGGAGGCTCCTCCACACTGAGGGTCAGCATAGGACACGTGCACATTGCAACCACACACACTCCACCCCATGGAGGGAGCAGAGCATCACCTAGTCACAGAGAGGAGACATGGGCTAGCCCAGGGCCTCCTAGCTCTGGTCACTCGATCCTGTTCTCCTCCCCCTTCACCCACCCCTGCTTTAACCATGGGGCGATGCTGCTGCTTCCCACAACTTTGGCTGTGAAGCTCTAGCACCGGTCAAAGTAAGAGAGCTCATCCCCCCCTCCCTAGTATGTTACACCCCCAACCCTGCAGAGGGCAGGCTGGCACACACTGCATTATGTACAGGCAGACCTCAGAACTATTTTCCACTCCAGGCTCACATTGAAATTGAGATCAGTTTTAAAAACAATTCCCATGATTCCTTCTTTCCTCCTCCACCCGCCTGCCCACTCTCCTGCCCCAGTTTCCACTGCCAGATCCCTCCTCCAACCCACAGTCCCCGTGGTGACACAGCCAGGCCAACCCCATAACTACATTCCACCTAGTACCCCTCCCTTCACTCTCCAGGGTCCTGCTTAGCACAGCCTATACACTCCTTGGGGCAGTCCATGGTTTGACTCTGTGGGGGAAGGGCCCCACACATATGTTCCATCACCAGCCCGCAGGGTTAACTGCACTAGTGGGGTCTGGGGATCAGCAATGGCCCAGAATGCTGTCTTCTGAGGGGCCTTCCATAAAGGAAGGGAACAGGTTCCTGTTTTAAGCCCCCGCTATAGCTTGTCGCTGGGGGTGGTCAGCACAAATGCCCACCGTGGGAAGGGCAGGTACAACACCACGGAGCTCAAGGCATTGCACAAAGGAGGTCAGACTCTTCCACGGTTTGCTCAAGGTCACTCATCAAGACAGTGGCAGAGCTGGGATAATGGCCAGGTCTCCTTTGTGCTCTCCACAAGGCCATGCCGCCTCGCTGCCCCTAGGGCTGCACCCCCAGCTCTGTGGCCTTGAGATCAGAGTAACCCATGGATGGAGCCAGGCCCCAGAACAGGCGGCCACGTACTCAAGGTGCTCGCAATAGTCCCAGTCGTGGCGCTCATGCTTGCAGGCCAGGAAGTTGGGAAAACTGTCACGCTTGCACTTCAACAGCTTGATGAGGTAGTGCGCACAGTAGTCCCGCTGCTCCAGGGGCAACTGAGCTTCATTCATCTGCTGCTGAGTTGCTATCATCACTGCAGGGGACACAGAGGAGTGGCAGAGGTGAGGCTGGGAGCACAATGCGGGCACAACACACCAGGAACTGAACCGGAGATCTGCAGGGCTAAAAGGGAAGTGTCCCTCCAATTCCTGGGTAAAGAGCCAGGCTCCATAACAGCCACATCCTATATGCATCTGGCACAAAGAGGGATACTCAGTGCTCTAACCACAAAGTAACACAAGCCCTTCTAAGGAAGCCCCATGGGGAAACTGAGGCATTGGAGGAGGTGGGGAAAGCAACATGCCCAGCTCACACAGTGAGAGCTAGAGATACAAGTCAGAGTCTGACTCTGAGCTCTCACCGTCTCCATTTCTATTATACACTTGTATCAGGACGTGCGTCTACACAGGACACGGAGGTCTACTGCCGTCTACTTTGTAACGATCCTGGGTTTGCACATTCGGTTTCATCAAAGAGCACTCACGGACCCTTGCACAGACCGTCCAGCCAGGGCTGAAATGTGGCAACTTCTGGGGCTGGACAAGGCGGCTGTCCCTGGGCTCCGTGCAGCACGGCTGCTTTGAGACACTGAGGAGCCCACGCAGTGCTACTGCATTCAAGTGCCCCTCCTCACTGCCTCTTTCTGCTAGAGGCAGCAAGGAGGGGAGAAGCAACTAGTCGACTATTGGATAAGCATTTGCTTGTCTATGCACAGGGCAGCATGGCCTCAGTGCAAAGGTTCCCCACCGGAAAGAGCAGCACGTCTGTGCAAGAAGGGGCCGTAGGTAGATTTCCTGCATTGACCGCAAAGGCAGGAACTTGGGGTGTGTGGGGGGGTGGAACTCACAGCAAACAGCCATGCTAGACCCCCTCATGTTGAGCCCTGCAGAGTCCAGCCAGGGAGGCTCCTCCACAATGAGGGTCAGCATAGGACACGTGCACGTTGCAACCACACATACTCCACCCCATGGAGGGAGCAGAGCATCACCTAGTCACAGAGAGGAGACATGGGCTAGCCCAGGGCCTCCTAGCTCTGGTCACTCGATCCTGTTCTCCTCCCCCTTCACCCACCCCTGCTTTAACCATGGGGCGATGCTGCTGCTTCCCACAACTTTGGCTGTGAAGCTCTAGCACCGGTCAAAGTAAGAGAGCTCATCTTACACACCTTGGCTGAGTCTGGGTCACTGCAGTGCTCTACATGCCCCAGCCCAGCCCACCGGGGGGCACAGCAGTCACCATGCCAGCAGTAGACGCAGACAAGCCAGTATTTATTCCTTTACATATGACACAAGCAGAGGATTCCTCCAGCCTCTCCAACAGCCGGGGAACAGGGCTGGGCTATGCTTCAGCTGCCGCCTTCTGCTCCAGCCTCCTCTTCCTTGCCAGCAAGCGCCGCTCCCGCTCAAACTCCTTCATACGCATCACATAGCTGGGGGAAAGACATCAGTCACGGGCGGAAGGGGACAGTACACCTGCATCAGGAATAAGCCCCCCCTCCCTAGTATGTTACACCCCCACCCTGCAGGGGGCAGGCTGGCACAAACTGCATTATGTACAGGCAGATCTCAGAACTATTTTCCACTCCAGGCTCACATTGAAATTGAGATCAGTTTTAAAAACAATTCCCATGATTCCTTCTTTCCTCCTCCACCCGCCTGCCCACTCTCCTGCCCCAGTTTCCACCGCCAGATCCCTCCTCCAACCCACAGTCCCCGTGGTGACACAGCCAGGCCAACCCCATAACTACATTCCACCTAGTACCCCTCCCTTCACTCTCCAGGGTCCTGCTTAGCACAGCCTATACACTCCTTGGGGCAGTCCATGGTTTGACTCTGTGGGGGAAGGGCCCCACACATATGTTCCATCACCAGCCCGCAGGGTTAACTGCACTAGTGGGGTCTGGGGATCAGCAATGGCCCAGAATGCTGTCTTCTGAGGGGCCTTCCATAAAGGAAGGGAACAGGTTCCTGTTTTAAGCCCCCGCTATAGCTTGTCGCTGGGGGTGGTCAGCACAAATGCCCACCGTGGGAAGGGCAGGTACAACACCACGGAGCTCAAGGCATTGCACAAAGGAGGTCAGACTCTTCCACGGTTTGCTCAAGGTCACTCATCAAGACAGTGGCAGAGCTGGGATAATGGCCAGGTCTCCTTTGTGCTCTCCACAAGGCCATGCCGCCTCGCTGCCCCTAGGGCTGCACCCCCAGCTCTGTGGCCTTGAGATCAGAGTAACCTCGCTGCCCCTAGGGCTGCACCCCCAGCTTTGTGGCCTTGAGATCAGAGTAGCCCATGGATGGAGCCAGGCCCCAGAACAGGCGGCCACGTACTCAAGGTGCTCGCAATAGTCCCAGTCGTGGCGCTCATGCTTGCAGGCCAGGAAGTTGGGAAAACTGTCACGCTTGCACTTCAACAGCTTGATGAGGTAGTGCGCACAGTAGTCCCGCTGCTCCAGGGGCAACTGAGCTTCATTCATCTGCTGCTGAGTTGCTATCATCACTGCAGGGGACACAGAGGAGTGGCAGAGGTGAGGCTGGGAGCACAATGCGGGCACAACACACCAGGAACTGAACCGGAGATCTGCAGGGCTAAAAGGGAAGTGTCCCTCCAATTCCTGGGTAAAGAGCCAGGCTCCATAACAGCCACATCCTATATGCATCTGGCACAAAGAGGGATACTCAGTGCTCTAACCACAAAGTAACACAAGCCCTTCTAAGGAAGCCCCATGGGGAAACTGAGGCATTGGAGGAGGTGGGGAAAGCAACATGCCCAGCTCACACAGTGAGAGCTAGAGATACAAGTCAGAGTCTGACTCTGAGCTCTCACCGTCTCCATTTCTATTATACACTTGTATCAGGACGTGCGTCTACACAGGACACGGAGGTCTACTGCCGTCTACTTTGTAAAAATCCTGGGTTTGCACATTCGGTTTCATCAAAGAGCACTCACGGACCCTTGCACAGACCGTCCAGCCAGGGCTGAAATGTGGCAACTTCTGGGGCTGGACAAGGCGGCTGTTAAAACAGCCACATGGAACCAGAGGTGAAGGGGAATCAGCAGAGACCAGGCCCCGCGGCGCTTCGCACGGAACGAGCCCGGCAGGCGGCTCCAGCCTGCAACCCTAAGCGCCCCCCAACTGGTGACGTCAGTGCCCTGGCTCCCCCCCTTCAGGGCCAGCACATGCCCATCCCCCAGG